TAGCCAGCATGGTCTCGATCTCCTGACCTCGTGATCCGCCCGTCTCGGCCTCCCAAAGTGCTGGGATTACAGGTGTGAGCCACCACGCCCAGCCAATCTCTCTGAATCTTAAGGGCAGTAAGACTCAACAATTACCAGTGGAAGAATTGACCTAACTTCCATTTCTCAGCAGCTCTCGACCTTACTGAACGCATCTGGCAGTGATGAAGTTTCTTTCTTAGCAATCATTAGTATTTACGCTTAATTCTTGGAAAATTAAATTTCTCCAAGATGAGGTTTCAGAGACATTATTAAAAAATGAAGTAAGAATTATGTTTTAAATCCCTAAAAAAGACCACACAAGTGTTTTGATACTTTTGGTTCCAAATAGATACTGTGATATGTGATTACTCATAACTTTTAGTTCATTTTAATTGGCTACAATATTACCTTAATCTACATGTGAAACTGTGTAGTTGAGAAAGAAAGTCATTCAATAATCTACATCTTACTTCATCCTCACTATATTTCATCCTCACTATATTTGGGAAAATTATTATTTATAATGGAGTAGGTAAGCTTTCTCAGATTTAGGTTTTTAAATTACAGATAAATCTAGTCATTATTTAATTCTTGTCCTTAGGAAGGATATGTTCTGTATTGCTAAAAACAAAAATGTTTTACTTGATCTTTAAAAAATACTGATTCCTGTGGGCACTATTAATCATCATCTACCAGTTGGTAGAAAACAGAAAATAATAAAATGCCTGAAAATATCACAGGCAAGAAGAAAAAATAATGGTAAGAAAATGTGGCCATGAAAAATTCATGTAAGCTGGAAAACTGAATTATAAATCATAGCTTCAAAACTCTCTTCATTTATCCTTTTAATAAGGCCTTAAACTGCAACGGCACATAGATCTACAGAATGCATTGCTGTGGATATGCAATGCTGTAACCCGACCTTTCAGGAAATTGGTCACCATTAGTCTGATATATGTATTGATTTTTATGTGGACATTGGTCCAGCACTGTCTCATGTACAGTTGCCAGTTCTCTTTTCTTCTCAGCTTCTCTTCCGCTAGCATCTTCCTTATAATTAAACCCGTTTTCTCTTCTTCGAACACTGGGTGTCCGTTTTTATCCACAGTGGCTTGTTTTTCATTCACAGCACTATCACTTGCCTGTCTATTCAGGCTCTCTGTGCTTGAAATGTCTGTTCCATCTATATTCTCTTGGATCTATAGAATTTCTTGGAGCAAAATCTTCTACTTTGTCTTGTCTTTTTGTATGAAATATGGCAAAACTTCTATGAACTAGAGAGGCATTGGTCTTCTCAGCATTTTTCTTGTTGAGTTTATTAACCTTTTCTTTCTCAGAGGAGAGCTGATTCTTCTGGGTAGATCTCTCTAGAAGCCACCATAGGACACAAAATATTTTAATGGAGAATGTAGGTGATCAGTATAATTTTGGCTTTCTATACTGGCATCTTTATCCAGGTTTCTTTTTATCAGCAGATACAAGCTTTTAAAAGCAAAGTGGAAGGAAATATGACCAATTGGGTTCCAAAAGATTTTCTTGTTTGTAAGTAGTAAGACCCAAAGACAAGCCAAAAAAAAGAGGGGGGGGGTATTTTTTTTTTTTAAATACAAACATCACTTCTTCCTACACAGGGCTTTATGAATGTGCAACTTCCTCTGAATAACAACAGGACTTTTATAACAGGACTTTCTTTATTCATAACTATCTAGTTTTCTAAAGATGTTACCTGCAAGGGCTGATGTCCTTTTGCTTTTGACAGGCATCCTTTCCGTCAGGTCGGCGTTTGACCACACCTCCTTCGCCTGTGGAGGCACAATTGAGTAACTGAAGTTACATATCACATCTGGGCTTTTCAACCTCAGCACTCCTGACACTTGCGCTGGATGATTCTGTGTGGTGGGGAATGTCATGAGCATTACAGGATAGCAGCATCGCTGGCCTCTATCCACCAGATGCCAGTAGCACCCTCCCTCCCAGTTGTGATGACCAAAAACGTCTCCAGAGATCCATAAATGGGGAGCAAAATCACCCATTACCCCAGAGTGAAAACTACTATATTATACGATTCAAACATAGAAAAAAAAACAGTAAAATTAATAGTAATGTAGAGGGCAGAACTGTCTGAATTAATGAAAGCCATATAGACTACAGTATCTGAAATGAACTCACTGTTTTCAAAGAAATTCTGTAAAACTGTCATTATGGGAAAAAGCCCATCTTCATGAATAGATGAAAGGATATAATAATGTGTACATCACCCTTGACTTCTGTTTAAATTGTCTTGATATGGTTTACATATAAATCAAATAGAAATGAGAGGATACATGTGAATGGGCTCTGTAAACCAGAGAGTAGGAGATGAAAGTCAGCTTTATAAATGGAACCTTTACAGTGCTTAGAACAGATGGCCTTTTTCCTAAGAGGATAAACATTCTTCTCACAGTCCTGGAGTCTCTGAATTAGTTGAGCAAACTGTTAGCTAATGTACCCCATATAAAAGGGAAACATTAACCCAATCCACCCAAATTATCACAACTCCTAAAGTTATGCATTATAAATTAATGACCTTGTGTGGATGTCCAAAAAAAGTATTTATTTCCCCTTTGAAACACAACATAATTTGCCTTCGGCTGATTTGCAAGCATGAAACACCATGGAAGTTCAGAGCACAGATATCAAGACAAATTGCAAATGTGCTTGCTTTCTTTCTTCCTTTTTTTTTTTTTTTAGATGGAATTTCACTCTTGTCGCCCAGGCTGGAGTGCAGTGGCGCGATCTCGGCTCACTGCAACCTCCACCTCCCAGGTTCAGGCGATTCTCCTACCTCAGCCTCCTGAGTAGCTGGGACTACAGGCATGCACCACCATGCCCAGCTAATTTTTTGTATTTTCAGTAGAGACGGGGTTTTGCCACGTTTGCCAGGCTGATCTTGAACTCCTGACCTCAGGTGATCCGCCTGCCTCGGCCTCCCAAAGTGCTGGGATTACAGGTGTGAGCCCCCACGTCCGGCCACAAATGTGCTTTTAAACAATTCAGGGGGCAGCTCCATGGATTCAGAGTATTTCCGTTTTTCAGATGGTGAACTTACAACATGAAGGCATGTTTAGTAAACCTGTGGAAAGCCAAGGCTGGAAGTGAGAGCTTCAGAGTCTCTCTTTCTCTTAAAGTTTCTCTTTAAGTGAAAGTCCAGAGATGGCACTTGCCTACTTTTCCCTCTGCAGGGAAAATGGGCTGCTGCTGCTTCAAGCAAAGCCGACTGCTCCCTCCTCTGTGCTTGCACAAAACTCAGCACATAGCCCTAACCCTGGTATTCCTTATAACACTTTTAAGCCTTTTTTCCGGTCAATTTCCCATGAGATTGTGGACTTCTAGTGGGCAAAAAGACTGGTTCATCTTTGACTTCCTGGCGATTACTTCAGAGACCAGTACCTAGTGATGATGGTGATGATGATGATGATGGTAGTGGTCATGATGGTGGTGATCATGATGGTGGTAGTGGTGGTGGTGGTGATGGTGGTAGTGGTGGTGGTGGTAGTAGTGGTGGTTGTGGTGGTAGTCATGGCGGTAGTGGTAATGATGATGGTAGTGGTCATGATGGTGGTGATCATGATGGTGGTAGTGGTGGTGGTGGTGATGGTGGTAGTGGTGGTGGTGGTAGTAGTGGTGGTTGTGGTGGTAGTCATGGCGGTAGTGGTAATGATGGTGGTGGCCATGATGGTGGCGGTAGTGGTAGTGCTGGTGGTGGTAGTGATGGCGATGGTGGTAGTGGTAGTGGTGATAGTGGTTGTAGTGGTGATGGTGGTGATCATGGTAATGATGGTGGTAGTGGTGATGGCTACCATGTATTGTGCACACACACTATGCACCAGTTACTCTTTTAAGCACTTTGTTTACCTGGTTGCTCCTCCTAACAGCCCTTTAAGATAGATACTATTAGCCCTATTGTATAAATGAAGTTAGGTAATTTCCAAAGGTTATAAAGTTTAGAAATGGTAGAGCTAGGATTCTAACCCAGCTGTCTACTTCAGCCTGTGGACCTAACTACCACACTATACTGGCTTTCTGGGGGAAAAAAAAAAAGATAGAAAGACTATAGCCAAGTTACATGATTCATATTTATTGAGATCTACTACATAGTTGGCACCACAAGAGAAAAGAAAAATGATTAAGAGAGAAGGTCATAAATCAAAAACAAATTAGCAGAGTGAAGAGATAAATATTTGTCAAAAGATTACAATTAACATGGAAGAGAAGCAAAAAAAGAAAAGAAGACAGAGAATTTAAGTCCAATTTTGAAAGCATATATCCAAATTAGTTGAATAAGACAGTTTAACAAATTGTGTTTAAGATGTTTTATAACTGTCCCTTTATTCTTCCCTTTTGAAATGAAAACTCTGGTGTATCAATAGACATTGTGCTTCTGGGTTTATTCTGTGTGGCATGAACACAATGATATAAGCATACGTGGATTTAATAATGAAAACTGGTATGTATCAGTCAATTTCAGCCCATCAAAGTATATAAAATTGAGCAGCTGGCTGTAAGACTCCGTGGAGCACTGATAGATCCACATTTGCCTCTGAAGCCACCTGAGTATCAGGTGGAAAAGTCCACATGCTGGGCCAATATTCTTTGGGTTCGGAGTCAGACTTGACCAACAGGAGAAGCTGTCAGTATTGAGGAATATAAGCAGCCAGCTTCCAAGTGAGGCTGCTTTTTTGTTTAGTAATTATATATCACATATGTTTTTCTATTTAAATAATGTAAGAAGGCCTTTATTCACTGCCAAAGGCTGTTATGTTTTCATTTCCCTATGTAATACTGACATCTAGAGGAACTTTGAACTGAAGCGTTTCCAACAAACAGAAGTTGTATTTCTCCTGTTCTTTCCAGGACGGAAGCTGTATTTCTCCTTTTCTTTCCAGGACGGCAACCAAAAATACGAAACGTTTTTACTTTGTATTTCTAAGTTATGCCTAGAAGCTGCTAAAATAGAAAGTTCAAGTGTGTAGATACATCTTATTTGTTGTACAAAAATGAAGTATGTCTTCTACCAATTAAACAGCACAGGACCAGTGCTCTTAAGCATGAAGTTTCTGACCCAATCCTGACCATCCCCAGTTAATGGGATGAAAACCATGTCAGTGACTATGTTCCTCTGCTGAATTCACATCGATGGCTGGGATGAACCTAAGGACCTCTTTCATGCAAATTCACTTAAAAATATTTCTGTATTTGCATATGGATTCCTTTGGAACTATTTACCAATTCCTTTTATAATAATTTATCTGTGGATGTAGAATGACGCAGGGAAGAAAGCCTAGGTGGTCCAGTTGCCCAAGTATTCAAAACACAGCTCATCTCTCTCCACTCTGGCTTCCTAGACTGGTCTCGTAAGTGGGGCATACGTACCCAGGGAGTGTCCATAGTAGTCCTTTGGAGGGTGTCAAGGACATGCTAGAACTCATTTCAATTTATTCCATTTCTTATGGATTGAATGTATCCCCCGCCCAATATACACACACAAATTCATATATTAAAATCCTAACCCTCATGGTGATGCTATTAAAAGGTAGGGCCTTCGGAAGTGACTAGGTCATGATTGGAGAGTCCTCATGAATGGGATTAGTGCCCTTATAAGAACCAGCATGAAAGTCTGCTCACTGTTTTTGAGGAGAAGGCCACCACACACTAGTAACAGGCCCTCGCCAGGCCCTGGATCTGCCAGCAGCCTGATTTGGGACTTCTCAGCCCCCAGAACTGTGAGAAATAAATGTTTGTTGTTTAAACCACCCAGTCCAGAATAATTTGCTATAGCAGCCCAAGCTAAGACACCATTCTTTTAACATTTTAATTTTACATATGTTTTTAAAAATATGTTGATACAATTGGACACATATAAAAGTATCTCTGACATATTAAATGTTATTTATAAAAATAAAAGCGCAGCCAGGCGCGGTGGCTCATGCCTGTAATCTCAACACTTTGGGAGGCCGAGACGGGCAGATCACAAGGTCAGGAGTTCGAGACCAGCCTGGCCAACATAGTGAAATCCCATCTCTACCAAAAACACAAAAATTAGCTGGGCTTGGTGGTGCACACCTGTAGTCCCAGTTATCAGGAGGCTGAGGCAGGAGAATCACTTGAACCCTGGAGGCAGAGGTTGCCATGAGTCAGGATTACGCCACTGCACTGCAGCCTTGGCAACAGAGAAAGACTCCATCTCAAAAATAAAATAAAGTGCATGTAGTGGTTATCAATGTACATAATTTATAAATAACTATATTGGGGTGTGCTTTAAAATTTTTTACTAATGGCAGTGCAAAATCAAAATAATTTGGAGATAATTCTAGATAACACCATGCTTCATACTCTGATTTTCTGAAATGCGTTTTGGAGAAGGACCATTCTAATTAGTAGGTTTGAGGGCAAGAACATAATTAGAACTATCAGCTCAATTCTTGCAAACTCTTTTTCTCCTTTTGCAAAGTACTGCTTTTAAGAGTTCAGTATTCATCGCTTGCATGACAGTTTTGATTATTTAAGCAATTTTAAGTAAGCAGTTTATCCTCTTTTCTCCGTTAACCATTACATTTACTGCCATAGGATCTAGATTTGAACAGGAGGGTGGCATTGGTACACAGGTGTGTGCCGGCTACCTGGGCATGAGTGCGTTCTCGCTCTACGGTACAGACCTGTCCCAGTACTACATCAAAACCCTACTTTTCCTGAAACTGGCGGAATAACTGAAAGGGAAATTAATTCAATTGAACAACATTGCCTAATCCTTCTTTCATTTTCA